TTGTGTGTAACTGAACTATATTTTCATAGGAAAATTTCAGAGATCTATTTCCAGAGTAAAAAAGAAGCCCCCAGAGCTTTACAAAAAGTATTTAAGAAAGGGCAACTTAAAAAATATTTTTTTATAGTTTATTTTTGAGACAGAGAGAGAGACAGAGCACGAGTGGGGGAGGGGGGGAGAGAGAGAGGGAGACACAGAACCTGAAACAGGCTCCAGGCTCTGAACTGTCAGCACAGAGCCTGACGCGGGGCTCGAACCCATGAACCGTGAGATCATGACCTGAGCCGAAGTCGGACATTTAACTGACTGAGCCACCCAGGTGCCCCAAGGAAGGACAACTTTTAATATATGTAACAGACTAAAAACTTTTTAATAAAATCTGAACAACCATAAGCAATCCACACATATGATACCAAAATAGCACATTATGCAGTATTCGGAGCCAACAGTGAAGAGACAGGTCTTCATTATTTAGGACCTCTTCCTGGTAACCAAAAATGAATTTCAAATATGATTTTTGGACATGTTTGATATTTGGTGGTAACAGCATAAGTGCCTAAACTTTTATCTTTGTTGCTGTGGTCAGGTTACTAAGCCTTCAGGCCTCTGATTTCTCATTTGTAAGTTGAGGCGGACAGATTATAAAATCCTTTCTTGTTCTTCATGTTGGATGATTGAAACATCGGTTATATATACCTCGGGCTTTCTACTCCCCTTTGGCTAAAAAGAGGATCACCCTAGTTTCTGTGTTTACATTCACTGGAGTAAGATTGAAGCATAACGATGGATTCTGCAAAGTCTCCGCTTCCTTTCAGGGGCATATGCTATAGGAGTCTCTCCTTGTTTCCACACAAGCAGATTTTTTAAAATACAGACTTCTGTTGACAAACAAAATCAGAGAGATTTTTTTTTTATAAACCAGCAAAGGAGAGGAGTTTCCTAACCCACGAGCTCACAGTTCTTTTCTCTCCAGCCACTCGGCTACCCCCAGCAGTATCCTGACAGGAAATATTCCTTGGGACTCAGTGATGGGATCCATGTTCACCCCTGGGTACCCGAGGAGATTTTATTCTGCATTATTTCATATTTCAGCTGCCTCCTTAGCTTCCGTGCCCCAGTGGGACTGCTTGCTACTCCTTTCTTATTACACTAGTGAGTCAGTTGAAGCATTTTGTGCTGGAGCTTTCTGGTTCCTGTGATGAAGGAAGACGTGGGAGACGGAAGGGACGGCCTTGTCCTGGGGCTGGTCGTGTGCCTGAGGAGAGAAGCTAAGGGGAAAAGTTCATTGTGCCCATTTGTTCTAATAAGAACAGATTCCTATTTCCCAACCCAGGGTCCCTCACAAAGCGGGAGCTGTCCCTCACCGAGAGCCAGTGGCAAAGGAAGCTGACTCTGGAGCAGTGACAAAAAGGAACTGAACTGGTCGGCTGCACTGGTGACAGTGTGACTGGATGGACTTGGGGTGGCGGGAGGGCCTGTCGGGACAGATGCGGCTGCAGGGCCTGACTCCTTGGCCCTCCTCTGTGGTTCTCCCTCTCGGGCGTCCGTGTCCACCCGCTTGTAGGGACTAGAAACCTTCCCAGGACCATCCCCTCCTTCTCCTCCCCCTGCTCTGCCTCCTCAGTAACCTTCCCGCTGGGCCACACTGAGCTTCCTTCAGCTCTCAAACACCCTGGGCCCCCCTCCCTACACGCCCTGAGTCCTCTCTCCCATCACCTCGCCCCCCCCCCACCCATCCTCCCCATCCTCCCAGCCCCCATCCCGTGTGCTCGGGGCACCCTTTCTCGGCCCCACGGTGGCTTTGCTGTTCCCACACTTTTCCTTCAGAGCACTTGCTGTTGTTGGTATGGCTCTCGCACAGAACCAGTGCCTGGCTGTAGTCCGCACTCAGATAGCAAAGTTTTGGGCATTCTGAGTGTGTGCGGGATAAGAGGCAGAAACATTAAACCGCACTCAACAAGCTCAGCTTCGACTCATTTCCAGGGGGGAATCGGCCTCCGTGGTTCCTCACTGCAGTACTGTTTGCCCAGCACAGCGTTTCTTAACCAGTGATCTGTCTTAGACCCAAAGGTAGCCATGGGAATAAAGCCATTGAACGCGGTTGTTAGACATTTTCATTAGACCCCACAGAGTGGGCCACGGCACTTTTGCAGAGTTGTAGAGTATTTCTGTCTTCTCTTTAGCGGTCCCCGCTAAGTTCGGAGGGCTGCCCGTGTGCGCATGGCCCCATACTCACCGTGCGCCCTTGGTTTCCCTGATGCTAACATCGTTAGGTCGGCAGATCCCAAGAGATTCTTGTGAAGTACAGTTATTCATTAAAACTTCCCGTGGGCAGGAAAGTCTCCCTTGGGAAAGAGACTGGTCATTAGTGCCGGTGACACGGGAGCCACGTGTGCTTGTGTGTGCAGTTGGGCATCTCCCAGAATGTTCTCCGCCAGCCCTTTCTCAGGGACACAGCCAGGCAGGGTTTGGTATATATGCAGAGCCTGGAGATGAGCTGACAGATGTTGAGGAGAATAAATCTGTGGGATTCCCAAACAGATGGTGCAGTATATTCTGTGCATTTGGCCATTTTACAAAATGAGCGTCATCCATTATTTTAAGTAGTGTTATAAATCCCGTTTGGCTGGTCCGTGTCCACTTGTAACTCTTTAGAACAATGCAGAACTAGCGGTAAGCCTCGTTCACGAGAGAGAAGTGACACGCCCAAGCTTTCTGTTTGGTAACCCAGACTTCAGAGTTCGGCTGCCCGCATTTTGAGTGGGCCGCAGTGATACATTAGCGCTCTGCTGGACACGGCAGATGAGCTTATGGCCCAGTCGCACACTGAAAGTCCAGTGTCAGTAGAAGGCAGGTTCTATGCAGGTCACCCTCTGTGTGTCCTGCAGAACTGCTGTCCACATGCTTCCCTCTGCTCTGAGCTCCGGCAAGAATTACATGCTCCCCTTCGCTCCGGCTGCTGGCTGAGCGCGGCAGGGGACAATGCCGGCGAGGTCACAGGACACGGCAGAGAAATCAGGGTCCAGGGTCCTCTCGGCCACCCTCACCTACCGCTGCAGCCTCACAGGCGTCGGGGGGCTGGGGGCTGCCCATTCCTTCCCCCACAGGCCCTGTAGGGTGGTGTGTCCTCAAAGCCGCCAGCCTGGAGCTGCTTCATGCTCCCTGTTGGGCTCCCTTCACCCTGTCCCCACCTTCGTAAATGGTTCTGTGTGAAACTGTGCAAATCACCCTTCTGAGCATGCCATCTGCTCCCAGCAGGTATGTTGTATAGATAGGACGAGGCAGGAAGTCCCATTGGTCCAGACCGACTACCTTCGGGGCCACCGTAGCAGAATGCCACAGACTCAGGGCCTTAAACAACAGGCCTTTATTCTCACAGTTCTTGGGGGCGGGGAAGTCCCATATGCAGGTGCTGGCCGGTTCAGTTCCTGGTCTTCCCCCCCGTCCCTGTAACAGCCCCCAGGCCAGCACTGGGGACATAGTAGGTTTTCAAGTAAATACTAGAATACACAGTTGAGATAGAAGCTGAGTTTGGCCCTAAATAAATGATAAGGCTCATATAAAATTGAGGTAGGGGAAAGGAGACATCAGGCAATTGGCCTAGGAGGCCTGGATAGATGTCACTTTACAAAACGTGTCAGCTGAGGATTCCATTTTATTTGTTTTTTTTACTGTAATACCAGGTGGCCCGTCACCTCCCCTGTCCACCTGTCCCCTGCAATGACCATTATGTTTTGAATTTTATCAAACTGTCTGATCCTGTGAGTAGGCTTTCTAGATCAGCTCCAGGTGACCTTTGGCACGCAAGTCTCATCAGCCCAGGCGGGAGGGATGTGAAACGTCGTTGCAAATGCCAATCTGTGCCCAGGTTGGGAGCAGGCACCCAGGGGGACGGGCCACAGAAAGACCAGCTGACTACTGTTCAGATTTCTGCAGCTAAGTTTGGAGTCTTTGAAGAGGGAAAATGTCCAAGTGCGCCCAGATGGTAGGCTCAGTGGGTTATTTTGAAATTGTCCATTATGCGGCTCACTGAAAATGTGCTGTTAATATTACCACAGGGAATTTGAATGTTGGGCCTGTGAATTTGTTGAGCTGGGGAATCTAGAAAGGGCAAAAGAGTCCGGCTCACTTCCTGAATCAGTTCTGTGACTCGGTGACCCATTCTGAGAAGCAGTGGCTTGTCTTCCATCCTGTAAAATTGGGCTAGTGCGCGCTGCCTGGCCCTGGTCGTGGATGGTCTGTCGTTGGCTTGTGAGAGAGCTTTGTTTTTGTGTTTTGTTTTTCTTTTAATTTACTTTAGCAAAAGGGACCGGGCAAAAGGTCTTTGTTTCTTTTTCTAACAATGAGATCCAGTTTTCAAAACATTTTGAAAACTACTGACTTGGCTGACTCGTTGCCTCAAGTCCCCTGGCGTTTTTCTCTGGAGACCTCTGGATGCCTGCAGACTCCATAGGCCACAAGCAGTGAAGTCATTTCATCTAGGTAGTAACTTCGGTATGGGATCATCCAACTCATTATTTAACCATTGATTAAATATGCAACATCCTAAACACTACATGAAGCGTATGAAAGGCACAACCATGAGCTCACAGAGCTGTGCTCTTCATGTACTTATATTCTGTCTTTTAATTGGAGATTTCAAAGTGTTTTAGACAGCGGACTGGATTCCTATTGTGATAGCTATTTTGAGATGCACTGAAATCTTACACAATCCAGAGGACCGTTCTCTTACTCTTTCACGGACTTTGATGTTCTCGGATGAAAGGTGCTATATAAATACAAAGCATTATTCATGTCATAATTTGAATATTTGGCACAATAAAGGCTGCAGGCTGCTTCACTGGGCACGTTGCAATTTTCTCTCCGGTGATATTTGCACTTTGTCAAATTAGTACAAAAATTCCCTTATCGGGGGACTGAATCTTGGATTTAAATCTGCCATATCGTCTCCTGCTGGTGTTAGGAGAACCCTACACATGATGCCTCTAATTTGCTTTCAGCCGTTCAGTGGAACCTACCTGAATCACGAGGAGTCCGGAATGCATCACTGCGTGTGCTGTGACAGCCCATTCTTCAGGTAAAGCAATGGCGGAGAGGCATTGACTCCGGGTCGTATGCAGCCCTGTCTCATTTGAAGTCCTGGCTAAATATATACCCCTGTTGTTTTTAACTGCCCTCCTCGTTTGGCATCGTTGCTGTAAGGAGGCTGTTTATATCAAATACTTGCCTGTCTTGATTATTTCTAACATTTAGAGCAGTTAATGAGATTTCTTAGCCTGTATTCTTTCTTTCTGTATCCCAGAGAAGCAGAAAACAAACAAAACTTCATGGGCACCTTAAGATAACACTATTAGAATATTTTCCCGGGAAAGTATCTCAAGAACTCTAAACCATAATAGTATTTGCTTGGCCATGTGATTAAAAACTCTATCTCTCCCAGGGAAGATGGGTTTATAATTTAATTTGGGAAATGTGGGATTTTATGAGGATAGATTCCCCACAGTGCTTGACAGTAGTGAATACCATACCCTCTTCTATATGGCTAAAAGTAAATTTAATTGTCCCTTGATTTCAAAGCCTCTTTTAAGTCAATCAGGATCTGAAATCTCTCAACAAAGGCTTTTTTGTTTAGACATGCAGGAAACAGTCTAAAAAAAGTAGATTCGATGAAGAAGAAAGGAAAACATCTTTGAAGTCCTGTTTTCAGAACTTCAAAGATATTTTCCTTTCTTCTGCATCAACCCTAAATTGGTTTAGAATAAAATATAAATCAAGCCCGCTCTGTGAATCTTCCATTAAGCCGTGCTTCATTATGTCCTTTGGGCTTTGAGCAGACCGGGCTTTCTTGGGCTGCTGGCTGCTAATGTGGGCTGAATTTGGAAAGCCAGACCCCGCCAGCAAGGATGGGGAGCAATTAGGATCGATTTCCCTTCATGCTTGCGGAAGGGCAGGTCTTTGCCCAGATTCATTCACTACGCCGAGTGACTGGCGAGGGGACGTCTAAGATAGCAGTCAGCCCAGGATGGCCTGGGGAAAACTACGAGAAGCAGGTTATTTTTAGCACAGGAAAATGTGGGACACATATTTCTGAGCCATTCGTTATTCCTTGACCTTTGGTTCTGTTAAGGAGAGGTAGGACCCTGAGATGGGCCGACGTGCTTTTAGGCAGGAAAAAAGGTGTACACGTGAAGACGGAAAGCACTGCCTTGATACTATACGGTAACCAGACAGACTTCCTGTTTCCACCTTTGAACCGTGAAGACGGAAGATGAGAAGTCGTCCCTATGAGAGCATTCTCCCACTTTGCGTTCGTTTTTTTTTACTTCATTGGGGTTCCAGTTTCTGCACTAGTGAAATGGAGACCTTTGCCTACCCAGGGCACAGTGCCCCCTCTCCACAGCAGCCAGGCATGGAATCACAAAATGTTGGAGCAGGATGGACCTGAGAACAGAGCACAAGGCTCTGTCCAGGAGAAATTTCTGCGACCGTGGAAATGCTCTATATCCGCCCTATCCAATATGGTAACCACTCATCACATGCGGCTCTTGAACCCTCAGTGTTGTTGAAGATGAATTTTTTACTTTATTTCATTTTCATTAACACCTAAAAGCCCACATGTGGCCAGTGGCTGCTGTATTAGCAAGTGCTAGTCCAAATTAAGGAAGCTGAGGGACCAACCCCAGGTCACTGAGGTCATGAAGCAGCAAAGACTAACAGGAGATCCAACCGATTTTCTAGAAGCCCGTTTACCAAGAGCCACTTTACGGAGCTGCCGATTCACCAAGCTTATTTATTTCTTTTATAATCATTGAGTTTTAGTTGAAAAGTTTCTATTTTCTTTTCTTAGGGATTTTTGAGTTTGTTTCTGTTCCATTTTCCTGCTGCTGCTGCTGAATAATTAAAACTGGAAGAAATAAGAATCTGTTGATAAGAATCTTTTATGCTCCAGAATATACTTTTCTTAAAGAGGTATTTGTTTAGAGGAGAGATAGTTTACTAAAGTGGCTAGGGTTCTGCTCCACTGCTGTGTGACCTTGGCATGTCTCTTACCCGGTCTGTGCCTTGATTTCCTTACCTGTAATGTGTAGGAGGATCGCTGTACCTACTTCATAAAGTTGTTACAAGGATTCAGTGAGTCCGAGGTAATGCATGGAAAAGCACCAGCGCAGAGCATGTGCAAGCAGGCGCTCAGTACGTGTTAGCAATGGCTCTTCCTAGATGTAGATCCTTCTTAGGGCTGTATGTGGAGATAAATCTCTGGGAGTGAGAAGCTCTTGTGAATACATTCCAATTAATGAGGACCTATAAATGAAGATTATATTCCTGAGCGTGCTTCCCATTCAAAAGCTTGGTCTGAGGAATATATTCTTGTTTTGCCTCCCTCTTTCTTGCTCCAGTCTCCAGCCTTAATCATAGCAAGCAGGAAGTGGAGAAAACAATACACATCCCTTCAAATGCTTGTGCATGGCCAAAATGAGGCAAAAAGTTGGTCCACCAAGAAAGAGCCAAGTGAATGTGGGGGCCACTGCCTCTTAGCACCTAGGCTCACTGCTGCCGGCGGGATTGCCTTCCCGCAGATCCAATATGGCGCCTGCTCCAGGGGACATGCCTGCTGTCCAAACCGGAGGCCTTTAAGCCGAGGCTTCCAGGTCAAGAACACTCTTAGGATGTTATCACTCCCCTGGGGGCTCCGCACTGTTGCTTCGTTAACCTTGGAATCGTGTGACTTTGCCCTCACTTCCCTGCTTCCTCTGCTCCCCATTTCTCCTTCCCCCTGTATACCGGTTCTGGAAGTGTTTATTAAAACCTACTGTGGGATCGCATATTCAGGGCTCCTCCATCCTTCTTAGAACAGAAGGAAACTGAGAGCCTAATATTACTTTCCCTTTGACATAAAATCAGGATGTGCTACATGTTATGAGTAACTAAGTACATCCGTTAAAAACTGGTGTGTGTGTGTGTGTGTGTGTGTGTGTGTGTATTCCCATTCCTCCAAATGAATGGAAATTCTTCTAAGATTTTAGAATTGTCAGTTATCACCAGGTGCCTCTGCTGTTAGTTTGAGGGCTGTGGAATTTCCAGAAATGAAGAAAAACCAAAGCAAATAAACATATAACAAACATGCAGACACATAACAAAAACAAAACCAAAGAACCACCTCTAAGAGTACATGAAAAGAGATGGTCCAGAGGGGTTTTAGTTTTTCACGGGAGAGTCTTATAATCTGCTAATCATTTAAATGTTTATTTGAATTTCTTTTTTTAAATGTTTTTATTTATTTCTGAGAGAGAGAGACTGTGAGCAGGGGAGGGTCAGAGAGAAAGGGAGCTACAGAATCTGAAGACAGGCTCCAAGCTCTGAGCTAGCTGTCAGCACAGAGCCCTACGCGGGGCTCGAACCCACGAACCGTGAAATCGTGACCTGAGCCGAAGTCAGACACTTAACTGACTGAGCCACTCAGGTGCCCCTGAATTTCTTTCTTTCTTTAAAATTTTTAAATACTTATTTATTTATTTTACAGCAATGAATGCCATGTTTATTTATTATTTGAGAGAGAGAGAGAGAGCACGCATGCAACACACATAATCGAGGAGGGGCAGAGAGGGAGCCCTAGAACCTGAAGTGGGCTGAAGTGGGCTCTGGCACTCTCAGAACAGAGCCGAAAGTGGGGCTCGAACCCATGAACCATGAGATCATGACCTGAGCTATAGTCAGATGCTCACCCGACTGAGCCACCCAGGAGCCCCTGTGTATTGGGGTTTCTAATTGACCTTAATATTTAGGTTTCCACTCTGAAATGATATATGATAGACCTCCCATTATGACCTGGTAAAATCTCCAGATTCTTTTAATTGCATTAATAAAGATTTATTGTTTCCCATAAACATTTTAAGTGACTTTTTATTAGTCTTTAGTAAGATGAATTCATTAAAAATGTATTACATTCATAATTCCCCATCAAAATGCCTTTAATGATCACTGGTTTACATGTAATGTTAAGGGTGGAAAGGCTGCGATTGAAACATACTTAAAATGTTTTTCCCTGGGCCAGAGTGGCTGGGATGAATAGCTGTGAACCCTTTGGGAAGGGTTGCAAAAAAAAAAAAAAAAAAAAAATGGGTCTATGGCTGTTCAAATTTCATGGATATCTGTTAGTAGTAGTAATGATTTTTTAAAATAATGGCTAACGATCCACGTAGCATTTGTCCAACACTGTGCTAAGTACACAGTACCTGTCGGGAAAGTATTTCAGGGAACCTTGTCAGCAACCTTGTGGGGGAAGAGCACCATTACCGTTCTATCCGTTAGGGCACTGAGGCTTTAAAAGGTTGAAAATAACTTGCCGAGGTCACAGAGCTAGAACAGAGGCTGGACCCTCACCCAGACCTTTCAGAAGTCAGGGCCCTTACCCCTCAAAGTTCTCAAAGCCTGGTCTGAGGACCCTGGGAGCTTCTGGAGCCATTGTAGGGGACCCACAGGGCCCTCTCTTTTGTTGTGTATCTTTGAGGCCACATCCTCTTCTGTACTTCAGTCAGAGTAACAGTCAGCAGAGTGAATCCAGAAGCACATGTGAAGAGTCAGTGGTCTTTTTCTCTTCTTTTTTTTCCTTTTTTAATTTTTTAATATTTTTTTATTTATTTCTGAGAGAGAGAGAGACAGCGTGAGCAGGGGAGGGTCAGAGAGAGAGGAAGACACAGAATCTGAAACAGGCATCAGGCTCTGAGCTGGCTGTCAGCACAGAGCCCGACGCGGGTCTCAAACCCACAAACTGTGAGATCATGACCCTAGCCGAAGTCAGAGGCTTAACTGACTGAGCCACCCAGGTGCCCCGGTCTTTTTCTTTTCTTAAGCTACATGTCAGAGAGATTTGCAGACTTGTAAAGCAGTGCAACTCTTCTCACCAGTGTCTGTTTCACTTTGGGAAATACAATTAGCTGTCAGAAAGAGGTTATTTATGTTACCAGGTAATGAATTTGTTATTCCTAAAATTAATGTATAATTATTTAAGAACTCTCAGTTATAACTTCTAATTTGTAAAGCCTCGGTAGACATAATTCATGGAAACAAAAGCCCTCCGAGCGCCTCAGTAATATTTTACTCTAACGCAGCCCTGCGATCAGAGGGTTTGAGGGTGACTGCCTTGCCCTGGACTGTTTCTGCTGAGGCTCGTGCGGTCCTGAGCATCCTTCTGTGCTCACAGTCTGGGGGTTGATTATTTGCCACTTTTCCGGCTCTGCTCAGTTCTTTTGGTTGTTGGCTTTTGTTTGTTTGCTTGCTTGCAGAGTTTACGGTGCATTTCTTCTCCGTCTTCCTTAGAAAAAGAGCCCTCTCCCTGCCATTGCAGATTCTCCACTCCGGCTTCCTAGCGCCCTTGAAGGGAGCTCACCTAGGGCCTTGGGCTCATGGGCTTGCTTGTTGCCCTTGCTCGCCTCTGGTCGGCCCCTCCCACCTTCTCCCACCTGGGCGTCATTAGTCCCCGTGGGACTCAGCCCAGGAGGGTCACTGCACCGCAGCGACTGTTGACAGCAAACCTTCCCGAGCACTGGCCCTGTGTCCCCCCAGAGTATCTCCTTAAATCCTCACAACCTCTCCGTGACGGAGGGGTTACTGTCCCCGAGCTGCGGATGGGGCCCAGAGAGGTTAGGCAGCCTGCCCAGGGTCACACAGCCACGAGATGGCAGAGGCAGCGAGGCTCCTGCGTCCAGGTCACCGGAGGGAGGGTCCTGCTGCTGCAAACGGGTGTTTGATCTGGTCTCCGCACTGCGGGGCCCAGACCGTGGTGCCCCCCACTGACCACCGTCGTCTCCTTCCCGTCGCCCCCTTTTCTGCACTTGGACCCCGTGGGTGGGATCTGGGTTTCCTCCCAGGCCTCACAGTTCGCAAAGCCTCTGGTGTCTCCCGGTCCCTGTCGGCCGTCGGGAGGGAAGCGGGCGGCATCCCAGGGACAGGAGGTGCTTGCAGGCGGCCGGTGGTGAACGCGCAGCGGGCAGGGCCCCTGCGGCACCGGCGTCCACGCAGCTGGCTGGCGGCGGGCACGTGGGAGGGCGGGGGAGGGCTTCCTCCTGCCCGGGCGGGAGAAGGAGTCGGGACAGTGCGAGCAGCCGCCGCGCGGCGAGTGTCACCCCCAGTTCTGAGAAGTACTGCTCCGCCACCCCCACGGCCTTCGTTTTCTGAGGCTCATGCGACGCCTGGCTCAGGAGAAAGGGACGCAGAGATCCTAGGACACGTGGACACCTCGTTAGGACACACCCCCCTCTCCCCCCCCCCCCCCCCCCCCCCCCCCGCACCGAGGTTGCCTGCAAGCAGGTGGGCCGCTCTGGGTTTGTTGCTGCCCTTGCTGCTCCGGGTCCCTCCCCGCGTCGCTCTGGGCACCGCGGGCAAGGACCCTCCCTGAGCCCCTCTCTGCCACAGCCTCCCTGGTTCTGGCCTTCCAGACGCGGGGCAGGGGGAGGGAAGAAGGGACAGACAACAGGAAGGCCCGGTGTCCCTGGCACCTGTCCACCTCCCGACCCCTCTGCAGCGTGTCACCAGCGGAGTGACGCTGCGGGGGACATCGTGCATTATTCCTTCCGCGAGCCTGGCAGGAGGTAGTACCTTAAATCCAGACAACAGGCTCATTTTTATATTCTTGGGTGCTCGGTTTTGTGGTTTGTTAAAACACCGGAGGCGGGCAGATCAACAGCATGGTCTTGTCATCAGCAAAACCCCAGAATAATACACTGGCTGCAGCAACATTATTGCGTTCTTACCTAGGAACCGTGTTAGTGCTTTGTGTGCATTATATCCGTGAGTCATCACAATAGCTTTATTTAGTAGGTATAATTATTAGTCCCCATTTTATAGATGAGTAAATCAAGGCCTAAGTTAAATAACCTGCTCACATTCTCACTGGTAGAGAGCTATTTACCACTACTGTGCACTGGATTCTTTCATTTCTTTTTGGGTTTTGTTTTTTTTTTTTTTTGAGTTTATTTAATTTGAGAGCGAGCGAGCAGGGGAGGGACAGAGAGGGGAAGAGAAGTAATCCCAAGCAGGTTCCGTGCTGCCAGCTCAGAGCCTGACACAAGGCTCAGACTTGGGAGCCATGAGATCATGCCCTGAGCCAAAGTCAAGAATCAGATGCTTAACTGACTGAGCCACCCACGCACCCCTGTCTTCTTTCATTTCTTAATCAAACTCTGATGTGATGGGCTTCCCTCCCCCTTCATACAGATGTCAAACACCATGTGGGGGTAAGCCATGTGGGGGGCGGCCATGTGGGGTTCACCTGTCTGGTTTCACGTAAAGAGCTTTGTCTCAGTGGGGAAATGACAGAGGTCTCTGTCCTGTGCAGCGTGAAGCCCACCTTGGCCACGTGTTTCCTGACGGACCTGCGCCTGGTGGTCAGAGGTTTTGCATCAACACTGTGGCACTGAAGTTCAAACCAACAGAACCCTGACTGTCTCCCGGGGTCCCCTTCCCTCGCCACTGCTTCATCCACACCCTCAGTTGCCACAGCTTACATGAATGACGTGTTTATTCTCTCCCAAGCCAGGCTAAGTGTGCTGCTGGCACCAGGCAAGTCACAACTGCTAGGCTCAACCCAACCCTGACTCCAGCTCTGACAGTGGAATTTCACGCAGTGACAGAGGGGCGGCCATTTCCATCGAATTGACTTCTGTAGGCTTGCCCGGGACCAGAGGGCATGACTCTTTGGGAACAGGGAGAAGCTGATGGACTACGAGCCAGAAAATTCCTACAAAACTCTCCTGAACTTTCCACTGTGGTGAAGCACTTGGTGGACATATACAGGTGGGGATGGAGGGAAAAGAGGAAGTAGATGCGGGATTAGAGTAATCAACAATCTCAGCGTCGAAACAAGTGCCGAGGACGGGAGGTTGTGAGACAGCGGAGTTGGGGAGGCCCACGCAGTGATCGGTGGGGTGTATGAATCTTCTTCGTAACTTTAGACTGTCTTGACCATTCTGGTCTCATGCTTTCTACCCACAAATAAGTGCAAATGGGAGCTTATTAGATTTCAGTGACTAATGAGTATATGTGGCTACAAAGTTAAGCTTTCACATGTTCAAATAAAATACTTAACTAAAATTGGTATCTACTTTGTGTCTAAGCCTATGAATTTGCTCTTTTATAAAAAGTCTAGATCAGATACCAAAAGAAAAAAAGCCAGATCACAATGGAGTAGGCATTTGGTTATACAACCCTAATAGAATTCAACTGTTTTACAAATTGAGAGTCTTGAATACTTTGCTATTGAAGGTGTTTAAGTTATTTGAGGTTTTACAGGCAGAAAGAAAACCTAATGATTCCATTTTTTTTCTTTATTAGTTTGTAGTGCCTCATGTAGCTCTTCTTTTAGTGGTTACCATGGAAATCACAACATGCATCCTTAACTTGTCACAGCCATATAACAATTATTTTGGCTACTTCTCCAAGAATGCTAGCCTCAGATCGCTTTAACCCCACAAACACCCTTCCATATTTACAATAGTGTTACTATTGCTATGAATTTAATTTTACACACATTTTAAGCCCCACAAGTCATTAATTTTATATGCCAATATTTATTTATATTTACCCACATATTTCCTCCTTATTTCTTCACGAAATAATCACGTTTCCCTGTGGGATTATTTTCTTCTGCCTGAAGAACTCTTTTTTTTTTTAATGTTTATTTTTTGAGAGAGAGAGAGAGAGAGACAGAGTGCAAGTAGGGGAGGGTCAGAGAGAGAGGGAGACACAGAATCTGAAGCAGGCTCCAGGCTCTGAGCTAGCTGTCAGCACAGAGCCCGATGTGGGGCTCGAACTCACAGACCCCAGATCATGACCTGAGCCGCAGTCAGACGCTTAACCGACTGAGCCACCCAGGTGCCTCAGAACTTGTTTTCAGTTCATGATTCCTAGTGTTGAATCTTCTCAGTTTTTCTGTTGGTCGAGAAATGTATTTATTCTCCTTTAAAATGTTTAAAGCTTTATTGAGGAAAAGTCAATATACCAAAAAATTGCACATATTTAATGTATAAACCTTGATGAGTTTTATCTCCTTTCGTTTTGGAAATATTATTTTCCCTGGGCATAGACTTCTGATTTGGATAGATTTTATTTTGGCATTTTTAAAGTTTCGTTCCATTGTCTTATGGCTTCCATTGTTTGCTCTGAGAAATCAACTATAAATGCTATTGGAGCTCGTGTGAAAGCAGTATGCCCACCCCCCACCGCAGCCCACAGCTATCGTTGTGAACTTCTCTTTTTATTTGATTTTCAGCAGTTTATGATGTGGTTGTCTTTGTATTTGTTGTGCTGGGGGCTCACAGAGTTCTTTGAATCTTTGGTTGATACTTTTCAGCAGTTTTGGAAAATTCTGTTATTCTCTCTCACTAGTGCTTTTTCCCTGCTTTTTTTTTTTTTCATCTTTGCTCTTGAACATGTTAATCATAGTTTTTAAAGCCCTTGTTAGTCAACTTTACTATCTGGATCACCTGTGGGTATAGTTTTTTTCTTTTGATTTTTAATCAAATGTTCTTGCCTTTTGGAATGCCTAGTAGTGGGTTTTCCTACATCTCAGATATAGTCTTCCAGAGTAAGAATATGGAAAAAAGGGCCATTCAGAAAATACTGACTAATCAGAAAGGTTCCTTTGACCCATTCGGTGATCACCTCTGTAGCACCTTTTCCCGTGGGGAGATGCCTGATTTTCAGGAGTGTTTGCCACGGTATCGGTTAAGTTTTCACTCTGACCATACTTTCATTTAAGAAAGGCCTGTCCTAAAAATAGAAGCAGTTCTTGGCACCCTAGTCTACCCACCTTTCTGGAGGCTTCTGCCATTCCAACCAAGCACCAACTGTGTAAACACTCTCCTACTAAAGCACTGAATAATGAATGTGGAGGAATAATGTTAATAGAATACTGCCTTTCACCTACTTTCCAGACATAGTTTTCTTTGGCCACAGAAGAGAGTACTAATATTTCTATTGTATTAGCAATTTTGTACCTTAACCTCATATTCGGTAACTTCGTTTCTACCTCTCACCATCACATTAGCACCCATACACACAGGATTTTTAAAACTACCTACATTTAGAAAGAAGTTGAAACCAGTGACTTGTTTAAGTAGAGTCCTAACTGACGAAATGCCCATCGGATTATGTGTTGGTGGGTTGGTTACACCTCCATTCCCCTCTCTTAGCAGCAGCAACAAAAAGGCCAAAACACTCCATAAGTGACTGGTTTGACTTATATCTTAAGATGGAAAGAATATCAAATTATTAGAGCAAATGATTAAATTATATTCTTTGTTAAAAAATAAAATGTTAAGTAACATACTGACTGCAGTGCAGTTCTGACGCTAACCACCCAGAGCTAGTACCTGCTCCACAGGTATGGGGCACAGTCCCCAAGAAGACCACTCTCTCCTGTCCTTTGCCAGCAGCTGGTTTGGGGGTCCTTAGGCTCTTGCATTCTGACCATCTGCTACAAATTCAGAGGTGCTCCTGTGACCTCCCTCAGCTTCAATAATTCACTAGAATGACTCACAGAACTCAGGAGAATGCTCTACTTATACTACAGTGTATTCTACAGGATACCAATCAAGACTAGTCAGGGAAGAGACACATAGCATAGGACTCTGTGCCCTCTCTGTGTGGAATCAGGTCGCATCACTCCCTGCAGCACATCAATGTGCTCAGCAACCAAGATGCTCACCAGGGCTTCCATGTTCAGCTTTTACTGAGATTTCATTACATAAGTGCGATTGATTGACTCACTGGCCACTTGATTGAACTCGGTCTCCCTCCCCACAGATGGGGAGGTCGGGCTGCTAACATGTGGCTCAAAGCCACAAGCAACTCTCTAATCACACGATTGGTCTCACCAACATGACCGGTCCCCATCCATGTCATCTCCCTAGCGTAAACCCATGTGTGGTCCAGTGGCCCCTCAGGAATAAGGAAGAGGCACTTGCCCCTCAGGAATTTCCAGGGGTTTAAAAGCTCTATCTCAGGAACCCAGAGCAAGGATGATACAAATTCTCCATTAGATGACATTTAAGAAAATAATGCTATGTATCAAAACTTATAGGATATTGTCAATGCAATATCCATAGACTTAAACTTTTATCTTTTTTTTTATAAAAGAAAGCAAATGAAATAAAAGATTCACTTAAGGAAGTTAGCAAAAAGAATAAGGCAATCTTATATCTTAATAGGATAAAGAAATGACAAAGTAAGAGGAGACAGTGAATTAGGAGAGAGATTTATTAGAACATCAAAGAAATGCATCTCTGAGAAACAACAACAAAATAAAACAAACTTCCAGTCATTTTAATCAAGAAGACAGAATGTTCACCTGAACTAAGATAGAAATGAAACGTGGGGTATAAAAACAGATACAGGAGATTTTGAAATTGTTAACACATGCTAGGAGAGCTCAACTGAAAAATACGGATGAAATGTGTGGGGTTTTTTTAATTGAAGTACATTGTCGACTATATTATATACATAGTGATTTGACTTATATACATTACAAAATGCTCACCAAGGTTAAGGGTAGTTACTATCTGCCACAGATACAAAACAATTACAATATTATTGACTCTATTCCCTACGCTGTACTTTTCATCCCTATGACTTACTAATTTTATTACCAGCAGTGTCCAACTCTTAATCTCCTTCACCTCTCTCACCCATCCTCACACCCCCCTCTGCTCTGGCAACCACCAGTTTGTTCTCTATTTTGATGAGTGTCTTTCTGTTTTCTGCTTGTTTATTCATTTGTTTTTTAGCTTCCACAGGTAAGTGAAATCATATGGTATTTGTGTTTGTCTGACAATTTCATTTAGCATAATACCCTCTAGTTTCAGACATGTTGTTGGGAATGGCAAGATGCCGTTCTTTTTTATGGCTCAGTAATATTCCACTGTGGTGTATGGGTGTGTGGGTGGGTGTACACACCACACCTTTATTCATTTGTCTGTCAGTGGACACTTGGGTTGTTTGCATATCTTCGCTCTTGTAAATAATCCTCCAATAAACATATGGGGGTTTGTATCTTTTTAAATTATGTTTTCATTTCCTTTGGGTAAATACCGAGAAGTGGAATTACTGTATTGTATGACATTTCTCTTTTTAATATTTGAGGAACTTCCATACTATTTTCAGTAGCTGCACCAATTTACATTCCTACCAGCAGTGCACAAGGGTTCCTTCCTCACATCCTTGCCAACACCTGTCTTTATGACACCAGCCGTTCTGACTGGTGTGAGGTGATACCTCATTGTGCTTTTGACTTGTATTTCCCTGATGATTAGTGATGTTGAGGGTCTTTTCATGTGTCTGATGGCCATCTGTGTGTTTCCTTTGGAAAAATGTCTAAACCTCTGCATGTTTTTAATTGGATTACTTACTTTTTAGTGCTGAGTTGTATGCGTTCTTTATATATTCTGGATATTAACTCCTTCTTGGATATATGATTTACAAAATATCTTCTCCCACCCAGTAGGCTGTCTTTCCATTCAAATATATGATTTTTATGGAAAACATTAAATTATGAAAATTGTTGTAAGATCTTTTTTTGTAAAAAAAAGATTTTATTAGTAAGTAATCTCCACACGCAACATAGGGCTTGAACTTAAACTCTGAGACCAAGAGTTGCATGCTCTACTGACTGAGCCAGCCAGGCACCCCAGGAAGATCTTAATATCTGAATAGACTAATATGCACAGAGAACATGTTAGAAATTATTTATTGTTGCCTCTCAAAAATAACTCTGGACCTGGAGAGTTTCATGAACGAATTCCTTCAAACCTCCAATAATTCCTATGCCATATCCATAGTAGATTTAACATTTGCAAAAATAACACAACAGTGACATTAAATCCTGTCAAAGGTAGAGGATAACATAAAAGAGATCTATAAACCAATTTTACTCAAGAAAATATATGTGAGAACATTAAGCAAATTACTAACAATGAATTTAGCAATAAATTCATTCATTTTATTTTATTTTATTTTTGAGAGAGAGAGAGAGAGAGAGAGGCAT